TTGATTGTATATATTTTGCATAATTTGGTTTCACTGTGCAGCAATTGCAAATGACTAAATATGAAAGAGGCATGGCATATTGTGAGGCATTAGCTTGAGTGCAGTTGTAATGAAGTAGGTGTTGCTTTTGGCTGCCTCAGCTTTAACATCAGCATTGCCATCAAGAGCTCGCACTCGCACTCACAGAGACATTGGTGCAAAGCATAATGAGGGGGCCAGAACCTGGTCGTAAATTAAATGCACAAATAATATGCATCAAGAGGCGGCCCAAACCGACGCCCACACCCCACCCCAAAGGCCAGCTAGAGAGATTGCATGTTGCACGTTGCTCGTTGCACGTTGCACGTTGCACGTTGCCCGTTGCACCGGCTGCCTTTCGAGTGTGGCACATGCAAAGTGACTGACTGGGCGCCACTTTTGCGCTTCGCCAGTCACAGACACTTCGTTATAAAACAATTAAATTTTTTCAACTGCAAAAGAACACAAAGCAAATAAAAACGCCAACAAAAACAGCTAAAAAGAGCTAAGAAAAGGAAAAATTTGCTGCCAATTACAAAATACGCTGCGCAATGCAAAGAGGCGAGCAAAATATTTACAAAACAAATTTATAATTAGTGGACGGCGGAGGCAAACTAGCAGCCACTCCCCCTCGCCTTGTACGCCCCCTCGTCGCAGGAAATGGGAAGTGGAAATTGTTGGAGGGTTTGCATGCGCGACCTTTTTTGGTATAATTTACAAATTGGCTCTAGGCGAACAGCCACATCCAGAGAACCCTAACCGCTTACCCTGAATGCAATGCAATGCATGCTAATTGCATTTGCCTCTTTTTTCAGGGTATTTTACAATTGCATAATAAAATATATCGAGTCGAAGAGAACCTTCTAAAAAAGAATAAAGAAACACCTGCAGCTATCGACATTTGGTCGAATATCTCATTAAATTTATATCTTTTTTTCGTATTTGTATTTTATATGCAGTTGCATTCATTAGGCGCACGCAAATGCTTTGCGAATCGAACGAGCAATTCATATTGTTCACAAGGTCAATATGTCTATTGGTCATATCGAGTATTGGCCAATTATATATATGGTATAAATTGATATTTGTTATGAATTGGGGGTTGCTGCTTATGAATCATAGCTGATATTGAGATATGTATTGAGAAAAGTAAATATATTAAATTTAATTTTAAATAATTAAGCTTTTGTAATGAAAATTTGATTGAATGATTGACTGATTATTTCATGAATATTTCATATTTGTTATATTATTATTTTTTGGAATTTGAAATGTTTTAAAAATGGGACTTCCAATTTAATGCTTTTGAAAATTGATTTAAATATTGCTTAAGCAGAATATAATGAAAAATATATTTTAAAAAATATTATAAGAATTTGAAAATTATTTGAAAAAATACTATAATTAATATATATTTTTTAGAGGAGATATACGATGATTGCATAAAAAATAAAATAAAATAAAATAGTCTTTAAATTTATATTAAATTATTCTTATCTGCATAAATAACTTTTAATATATAAACTATATCTAATTATACTCAATTTTAATGAGACTTTTAAAAGCTTTTACTGCAATTACTATAGATATGATAAGAGTTTCTTTTAATTATACAACAAGTTTGATAAGCTAGTTCACATACTTAGTTTAAGGCGAGTGCAACATAAATTAAAACAGTAGCTTGTAAAAATAAATATTTTGCGCCAAGTATGTAGCTCGTTTCGATAATGCAATTTATGTATGAATAGCATAGACCTCCCTCTGCCTACTGCTCTCTCAATATATCCCTCTCTCTCTCTTGGTCTCGCTGCAGAGTGCAAACCAGTTTGGGGTCCATTCAGATTTAGCGTAGAAATGCAATCCATGAAATGAAATAAATATGCAAGTAAATGCATGTTGCATATTCATGTCCACAGTTGAGATGCCAACTGTGTGCTGAACTGATAAATTAAACAATCCTAACTTTAAATGCAATTGCATTGCAAATTTTTGTGGTTGTGGCTGTGGCTGTGGCTTTGGAAAACGCGACTAGAAAGTCGCAAATGCGAAATTGCGAAATTGCGAAATGGTAAATGAGAAATGTGGAAATGGAAAAATGGCAATGGAAACAAAATTTATGCGCTGTACTCGTTAGTTTTGATGTCTTTGATGCCACCTGACAGACGACAGGCCGAGAGGAAAGAGTGAAGGAAGAGACTGTGAAAATGGGCTGGGGATTAAGTACTTGTTCAGTCAAGATTTAAATGTGACAGCTAGGAAATATTTCAAACTGCACGCGCTGAAGGCCTTAATACCCTTAATAGCTTGTCAGAAATGTATATAAATTAAAAACATGGCATAAATAAATATGTGAACGTATTATAGAAGGAAATATAAATATATAGACTATATAAGGACATATTCGGTACAGCTAAAGAAACAATATTGAAGGTAATTTATATTCTATATTCTATATTCTATAGTTGGTCGATCTAAATATTTTAATTATACCTGCTATAAAGTTGCAAATAGATGCAGCTATATCAAGTTTCAAGGATTGAGCTTCAAGAGAGACGAAGATCATATAGGTAGTTGAATGGATTAATAGATATTTCGCGGTTTTCGAGAGCCAGACAAGTTGATCAGTGTACGATGACCAAATTTTTAGAATCAGCTTCAAAATTGATATAGTTCACTTGAACAGTTCAATAGATGGATAGATTCAGATAACACCTTCAACGAGCTAATCTAATTTAAATATAAAAAAATATTTTTTTGTCATCTTTTTATACTTAAACACTTCCATTATAACCATATGATATACTACGTCGATCCACTAGTAATACAAATATATATTAGTAGAAACGTTAAGTAGATATACCAAATTTTGGCATGCTCTCTCCTCAACTGATCAAGTTCACTTGGACAGTTGAATAGATGAATTGCTTTGTAAAAGTCTTAGAGGAGCTAGTCTATTAGCTATCCTATCAAAACATCTCTTTCAATATGTTACACATTTTCTAACCAATTTCGAATACTCGTCTTAGGTGAGGGCATGCAGCAAGCTTGCAGTTGGCCCACGATCCGTCAACTGGAAGCTATAATTCTCGCGTCTTGGAAATAATTAGATGCGCCTATTTGATAACTCAATGAATATTCACAGTTCTAGAAAGTTAACACTCTTGGGAATGGACCATTGGGGGTCGTCATGTGAAAGCCAAACAGATTTATGCCATACAACAAAGTAACTGCAAAGGGTCTTATAAGCCATGGACGCATTCCCAAATGCAAATTCGCGTACATTAAAAAAAGGAAGAAGATGAAAAACAGCAAAAGCCAAAACAAAAAAAATAAAAAACAAACAGCAAAATTCATGTGAAATCGTCGTCGTTGTCGTAATTACGGGCAATTTTCCATGAATTTATTAACAGCAGCCGAAATGCGCCCGTCTCTGGTAAACAGCTGATGCCCTACCTACGGCTCCAACTTGCCTTGCCCCTCGAGCAGCCCCTTAAACAAACAGACCATAAATAGTATAAATTTCCACATGACACGCGATGATAATGCGCTTTTCAAGCAAGTTCAGTCAAGTGTCTGCATCTCAAAACATCATTTGCGTACAGCTGGCAACTCTTAATTGCTCAAAGCACAAGCGACAAAGTTGCCTCTCTCACTTCGCCCCTATATGGTTCTAAAGTCAGTTAAATTTTCAGTGGCATTCTCAGCTGTTGCGCTGTGTTGAGAGTCCAAATCGCAGCGCTTTCATTTGGCAAGTGAGGCAAAGACATTGCTCGACATTTCATTGATAGCTTGTATGTGTGGGTCATCACCCCTCCCTCACGCCCGCCACACCTCCGCCGCCTTCAGGCTCTCTCCAACTACGGCCCTGTGCATGTCATGCGCGCAGCTCATCTGCATGCTCATATCTTCGTCATCTTCGGCCTCAGTTGCTTCAATTGTCTCCCCTACTGCCGGGTGTCTGTTTCTTATTAGCTGCGAGAGAGGGTCTCTTTCTGCTAATATGGGGGGATAAGAGTTGGGGTACGAGCACTGGGCAATCAGTAGGCAAAAATTCCATGAATTAATTTCAGTTTTGCATGTTGTTATTTATTAAAATTTTATTTCGCGTTTTACTCAAAGCCGCGCGCGATTCTCTTTTATAGCTGCCGCTTTTCATGCCCTACGAAATGTGCATGTGTGTGTATGTGTGTGAGCTAGTTATTTTTCATAATTTTTTTTGTGATTCTTATCATTGCGCGCTGTCAGTGTGAGCTGTGGGATGCCTCTGAATGGATTGCTTAGAAGACGCAGAGAGAAAAAATTTGAAGTAATAAAAAAAGTATTATTATTACAGAGACTAGAATAATATATTTGTATAAGCAGTTTACTCCTATTATTATTTTTAAAAATTATATAAAATATATTTTTAAATATTATTTATATATTTTATATAGTTTTTCCCCCATTTACCCTTTTCCCAACAAAGAAAACATTTTCGAAAATTTCATTGATAATTATTTTTATTTTATATTAATTAATTTTTTAATATATTTGTTTTTTTTTTTATACATTTTAAAATTCTATTAGTACATGTTGTTTTTAATATTTGTTTAGCATTTTTTATTTTTATAATTTACAATTACAAATTTTTGTGTGTTGCTGATAAATTCAATTGGTTTACAGTTACATTTTTAATTTTAGTTTTTATTTTTTATATTTTTTAAATTAAAAATGTGTTTTTTTTGTTAATTTTTATATTGTTAGTTTTGCTTGCCCATTACTACAAAGTACTACTAAGTTTATAAATAATTATTATTGTTGTGTTTAATTATTTTTTTGTTTGTTTTTATTGTTTAATTAAAATTAAAAATCATTCAATTGATTATCACAGTATTCACGAAAAAATAAATATGCTTAAAAGTTTGTAATATGAAAATTTTAAATATTTTGTTTTAAATTTTTTAGTGAAATTATTTCCTAGAAACTGTATTTTTTTTGCTGACTCGAAAATGTTACATACACTGCAAGAATAGTCTTAGGCTAAACATTACTTAAGCATTAATCATACGACATGTAGGATAGTTTCAATAAAAATTCAATGCATTTTGCTGTTCCTAATCACAACAGACAATTGCATTTATATTTTATTTCAAAATGTGGGTGATCAAATGAACTAGTCGTTGTTCGTACTGGTTCAATTGATCAGCCGCATTTCGTGCTAGTTTTCTGAATTTAATTTTATACTTTTTTTATATTTAATTCGTTATAATAAATACCAATAATAGTTAACATAAAACAAACAACGCACACATATATGTGTGTATGTGTGTATATGTGTGCGCGTGTGTATGTGTGTGTGTGCGATTGGTGCTTGAAACCGAATCAAAGTGAAGAATTATGCTAATATTTGATGTGTTTTGCGACTTTGAACCTGCAAAGAAAAGTAGAAATTGAAGGAATTGTTTAGTAAGAGATTTTAAATGAAAATAAAAAATAAAGAAACAAATTTAATATTTAATATAATAAATAAATATATTTAAAAATATATTTATTTATAAATATATTTAAAAATATATTTATTTAGGATATATATATATATATATATATTGAATTAATCAATATACAAATTAAATAAAAAATATTATTTTTATAAAACACAAAAAAGATACAAAAAACATAATTTTCATAAAAATACAATTAATAAAAATAAAAAGGGTTTAAAAAAATAAATAATTATATTAAAAAATTAAAGCCAAAACGTCAAATAAAATTAAATAATAAAAAATGATAGAAAATGTTGAAACAATAAATTTCTTATATATATATTATATTTTATATTATTAAATTCAAAAGTTAATCTCAATTAATTATTGTACACACCTGCTTTAAGTTAGTTAAGCTGTGCGCTGTTGTTCTCTAGGGTCTGCGCACATTGCACTGTGTTTGTGGCCCACTCTGAGAGCTGGGTTTGCCCTGTGTATCTAATGTAGCATGTAGGGCGACTCGTCGTCGTCTGCGCCCGTTGGACTGTCGAGCGAGGGATTGATGCGTTTCTCTTTCTGCCGGCGATTGCAGAACCAGACACGCACCACTTCCTTCTCCATGCCCAGGCGATCGGCCAGCTGGCTGATCTCCTCTGAGGTGGGCTTCTGATTGGCCATGAAGGCCTTCTCCAATGCACCACGAATCGTTGTCTCAATTGACGTACGCTTCTTGCGGCGACGTCCAATTATTTCCGGCGTGCTAACTGTGGCCTGCAAGGCAGCCGGATCGAAGACGCCGCCGGTGGCTTGAATAGTGCGATCCGCATCATCGAGCCACTTTTGGAGGAGGGGCTTTAGTTTGCACATGTTCTTGAAGCTCAGATTGAGCGCCTCGAAGCGCGAGATGGTTGTCTGCGAGAAGTCATTGCCATAGAGCTTGCCCATGGCCAGGCCCACATCGCCCTGAGTGAAGCCCAGTTTGATGCGACGCTGCTTGAAAGTCTTGGCGAATTGCTCCAGTTCCTCCAGATCCGTTGTCTCTTCGGGAGAGGGCTCACCGGCTGCACGCGCTGCAGCCGCACTGGCCACAGTCTTTGGCTGCGGCGTGGCCTGACTGTGCGTGTGGCCATGGCTATGGGCGTGCGAGTGGCTGGTGGGCGTGCTCGGTGTTAGCATGCCGCTGAGCTTTAAGCTAGCCGCCGAATTGGGTGGCGTTATCTGCAGCGGCTGATGCGGCGAACTGGCCGGACTGCGCACTGCGGCTGGACTTCTTGAATGTGGCGTCGAGCTGCGCGGCTGTTGCAACGGCGACTTGCATAGACTCAATGTTTCCTGTTGCTTCTGCAGCGCCTGCAGCTGCTGTGTGGCCTGGGCCAGCGCCTGCAACTGGCTCTGCATCAGGAACTGTGCAGCCGCCACCTGCGTAGCCAATGCCGGATCATCCTGCGACAGACCCAGCGAGCCATTGCGCAGCAGTTCCATGTAGCTATTGAATTGCTGCTGCAGTGCTACCTGTCGCTGCTGCAGCACCTGCTGGAACTGGGCAAAGTCCTGTGGCGAAATGGAGCCGGCGAGCAAAGGATTGTTCAAAGCCAAGCCGGCAGCCGCCAGCTGTGGGGAGGATAAGCCTGGCAGTGCCAAGCCAAGTCCCGGTTGCATGCTGTTGGCCACAGCAGCGGCGGCCGCTGCAGCTGCTGCCATTGAACTGGGCGTGGCGACAGTGGGCGGCAGTACTGGCGAAACGAGCGGCGCCGTTAGCTGACTCGGCGGCGTGCCCGCCGTGGATTTGACTGAATTAGCCGGACTCTGAGTGCTGTGCCGCGAATTGTCGCTGGTTAGATTAAGTGCACCGCCATTGGCATCGTCATATTCCTCATCCTGCTGCTCCTGCTTATACGCCTGCTGTAGATGATTGTGATTGTGGTTGTGATTGTGGTGGTGCGCCGGATGCGGCTGCATTGAGAGCAACTGGCGCTTAGCCTGCTGCTGGGTCAGCAACAGCGCTGGACTCAAGGGCGAGCGACAGCGATCGCTGGAGGTGCCCACACTCGAGTTGTTGTCATCACAATCGGAAGCTAAAGGCAGGAAGAGAGAGAGAAATGTTGAGGTAATTGTTGAAGTAGAGAGAGAGGGAGAGTGGAAGGGATAGGGAATTTAATGAAACTTGAAGTTAGAGTCTAGAATTTCTCACTGATTCATGGTCTTTGAAAGAATTCTAGAAAAAGCAACTGAAACGAACTCTAGAGACTGACTAACTAAATAGTTCAGGAATCACTCTGTGAACTAACTAAACTTGCTTAACAAAATCTCAATAGTATTAAAAGTTAAGGAATCTATCAAAACCCAAGCAGAACTCCATTTAAGAATCGATTATAGACAGCAAAACTAACTCAAAGCTCGACTAAATTAGGCAACTCAAACACCCCATCAGCTCAGTTGGGTCCTTTGCATAACTTGAATGTGTTTGCATAATTTTCGATACAATTTCATAGTCCGTTGAGCTCGTGTGCGTGTGCGGGTGAAAGTCCACCCAAACCACACGCAGCCCGACTCCTCCTGCTGTATAGTTTACATAGCTAGTTTACCTTTGCGTACATCAAATGGAATTCTCGTGTTTTCTTTTCATTTTGGCTGCTTTTAAGTGCCATTTTAGCATTTCAAATGCTGCGGACAAACGATTTGTATAAATTTGCTATTTCTATGCATTTTTATTTGCACAAAGGCTGCGTGAAGGGGGCGGGGTAGGGGGATGGCCACCCAATTGATTTGCAATAATATTTAAATATGCGTCAGTTCATTTCTAGCCAACAAACTTTTGCCCCTCGACTAGCAATCAAATATTGAAACCCTTTTCAATAGCAGCTTCTTTGAAGTCTAAGCCACACGCACACACACTCACACACGTTCCTCTGTTTAAATCTCAATTGTGGCATTTCCATTTGGCAAAATTTTTCCCTTTCAGCTTCAACTGGTCAGCCAGCTGGGTCCAGAAATTTTTGCATATGTTTGGACCACTGAGGCTACTTTATGACTTGTGGCTCCGGATGGTGGTTGATGCTACGTGAATTTGATGACTTATTCGGACGAGTGGGTGCACCACAGCAGAGAGGAAATTTTTTCCTTCATCTGCTTCTTCTACTACGTATGTGTATGCTGCGACTACGTGCGGCCATTTGGTATTCAGATGATGTGCAAATTCGATTTGTATGTGTTGTGTGAGGAAGTGTGCGCAGTGGCGTAGGCAGAGCAACTAAAGGGGGCTTTAGACGTAAATGGAAACTCAAATGTGTGGTAAAAAGTACAGCAAGTTAGGTCAACTAACAGCTGGGTTACGATGAGATGAATGGAACTAGGGATAGTACTTTGCTTTGGAAAATTAAAAGATTTGGCATTTTAGCGCCAATTAAGAACATTTGATGTGGGTAACTAATATACCATTCGAGTTATAATAGTTAGCTTAAAAACTGGTGCGGATTTGTAAAGAAAACTTGATTGTATTTTCTTTAAATCAGTTACTTGAATACGCTCAAGAAATTTCAGCAGCCTAGATCAATAAACAACCAAGTTACTATAGGTTGTTATAAGTAGGGATAGTTCTTTACTATGTAATAACAGCTAATGGAGTATTCTCTATGAAATATTGAAAAAAGCATGTGCTTAGCTGTTGTAGTACTCGAGTTCTATTAGTTGGTATTGCTATTGCTGGACATATTTGATAGGAATTTGATCATACTTCAATCTAGTTGCATAAGATCACAAAATATATTTATGTGAACCACATAGCTAGTTCAAGAGCTGAGTTACTTGAGTTAGCTATTTAGTAATACCCCTCTTGGCGACGCTGCTGCGCTTTTAGCCAACCAATAAAAAAAGCCAAATGGTCAGTTTGACTTGCACACACAGGGCCAATAGCTCCCACACTCGTGCATAACGGCATAATTTTTGCATAAAATATATGTAAATATGTGTTCATTCGGTAGCCAAAAGAAGGGCGCAAAAGAAATCTCAGCAGCAACTGGGCCCCACACACACACACACACACACACACACAGGCACATGAAAATTCAAATCAAGCGAAATGCTGTCAATAATATAAAAGGGAGTCCGAAAAAAAAGGTTCAGTTGCTTGGACCCTGGACCGAGCCGTGACTAACGAAGTTCGAAACGTGGGCGTGCCAAATATACATATGTATAGGGTAATATTTGATGATGATGAGGCTGATGATGTTGATGTTGATGATGATGCTGTGGTTGCCATGAAATTTGTAAAGTGTGAATTGCAAATTTTACGCAGCTCAGACACAAAATCAACGAGTTATGAATAATAATGAGTGCGAGATGAATATAATTTCAAGGAAATATATTATATATGATAATAAATATAAATTTCTTATCAATAGTACCGATAACAGCACTGGCTTCAACTGTCAGCTAATGCGCTACTTAAGAAGCTGTTAATAAGACATTAAAATTGACTTGGAGTGAGGCCGAGGTTTCTTAATTCTGTCACCCTTCTAAATCAGAGACACGCAAAGTTTTGACAGCCATTGTTTCCCTACCAATGCTACCCTAAATCCTAACCCTAACGCTACAATAGGGAAAACCCGAAAATCGAGAAACCCTAGGCGCAGCGCGTGGCCAACGAGTGCGAAGTTTTTGTGTTTTTCTGATTGCAAGGGTTGCTCGAACTACCCGTCATCTATTTATTGTCTGCCTACTGTAACTGATGCCAGTCGAGCTGAGCTGCGGCAGATGTTTTTCCATTCCAAAAATATATGTACACACATCCAAGTGGACAAATCGTAAATACTCGGACAACAGCTGAGCCCCTCTAATGGATGCTTCGTTGTTCGATTTTAAAGAGTTGCATTTAAAGTGCCAGCACTTACCATTCGATTGCAGCGGCGAAGGCGAGCGCGAGAGTCGGCTGATGTCTGCAAAGAGAGAGGGAGAAAAAGTTAGTATTTGGTTTAGTCAAAGGCAAACATCTTATTAAGCAGGCGACAGCACGTTCCAGGCATAAACATCTATAGATATATATAAGGAGAGTTTTTTTGAGTGCAGCTAAATTTAACATTTAAGTTAGGTGTCGGCTTCGGGTTCGGCTTCGTGCCTCAAATCGATATTCGATACATTTTAGCTAACTGACCAAATGGCTGCAGACAGGACACGCTGCCTGTATAAAAGGATATTTTTATGGCACACCTGGTGCAGAGAGCTCAACTCTCCACAAACCCCTCCCCTCCCCTCCCCTGCGCGCCTCATCACTTCAGTCCAGTCAATTTGAATTTGAAATTTTTTTGTGAGTTCAACTGCATTTTATGGCCACATATCGAAACGAATTTTGGGGCGCGTCTCTGTGGGCTAATTTATGAGTCTTGTGTTGGCTGTTGGCTAAGCAGCATTTTGCCGTTTTGCCATGTTGCATGCAGCGCGCAAAGTGCAATTCGTTGGCCACATTTAGCAAAATTTTTAGTATGCAATTTGCAGATTAAGCGAATGACTAATCGATAGATTGTTAAGGTGAGTACGAGCTGAAGTTTTAGATTGTGGCAACTATACATGTTTTAGATATTTTTAGGAATTTTTTTGAACATGGAACAACGTAAAATACATACGTAAATATAATATAAATATTTATTTCTATTTAATAATTTATAGATCCATCAATTGAATCTCAGAAATATATTTTCTATAAAATTTAATATGGCTCCAAAGTACAATTCATAAATAATAATATTATTTAAAAAATTAGAAACATGAATAGAACAATATTAAAAAATAAATAAGATTCAATTAAAATAAAAATGTAAATTCCTAATATTTTCTCATAAAATCTTATTAAATACAGAAAAAAAAATTATGAAAATTATAATAAATTGTTAAACACAAACTATATATTGGGCAACTATAAATTAAGTTAAGTTGATTTGTTAATTTCGAAAAGTTTGCTTATCAATTGATCAAAAAGTAAATGCCATTAATCCTCACTAAATAAGTGGGGCCATAAATTTAGTATTTGAATGGGCGAGGGAATACCCATACATTGCGTGTTCAGTCAATCCATAAAGATTAAGAACTTGTTGTGCACTCAATTGTATCAAATGGAAAGAGTTATGCAATTAGCTAAATTTTGAAAAAGATGAAATCGAGAAAACGTAAACTTAAATATTATTGTTAATTATTATGAGGAATCTAACTTAAGATTATCATAAAAGTTGATAGAAAAGCGCAAATATTTTTGAAGCATTCTCAAACTCATTTTAGACTAGATCTTCAAACGTATTAGACAATCTTAAAATCTTCATATTTCAAGCATGTTTTAGACAACTTTAATTTCTCATTCGTTTCACTTTATTCGCTTTAACTTATGCTTCCAAAGACTAAATAAATTCTGTTGCCCAAATCCTAATCTGAAACTCGTCTGCTGTCCAACTGTTGTCGCACACACAAACACACACACAGCCACGCACACTCTCACTTCTGGCACACTTTTCTCTCGCCTTTTCGTTAGCTAATTAAGCGACAACTGTTGTTGCCGCTGCTGCTGCTGCTGCTGCTTATGCCACACTTCAGCAGCAATTCAAGAAGTCGTCCACTCGAGAAAAAAAGAGGCGAGATCTGTGATCTGCGCCGATATGTGTTATGTATGTGGCATATGGGCCGTGAAAACGTGTGTGTGGACCTACCCCTGCCCCGTTCCCCGTTCCCTTTGCCCTTTCCCACTCTGGCCAGGGTAACCCAATCAAGGCGCTGCCACTTAAAACGTTTGCGAGCCAAAACTAATTTTCAAAAACTGCGCGTTAAAAGTGCCACAATAAATTATGCAACCTATTTGAAAAGCCACCCCCGCTGCCACACATGAGAGTGTGGGGGGCGACGAAAAGCAAGCAAGAAGCAGAGCGCATGCCATGCAGCGGGTCAAGCGGCAAAAGCGCAACAATAAAATTTTTCGGCAAATGAAAATGAAAAATTTCGAGGCCAAAAACTCGAAACAAATGCAAAAACCGCAGACGCAAAGCAGACGCACACAGCGGGTGAGCAAAGAGTGGGCGGAGAAAAGGGAGAGGGAGAGAAAGAGAGAGAGAGAAAGAATGAGAGGTGGAGTGAGAGCGCGCGGGTGTAATGGGAGCTGCGAAGCTGGCGAGTCTGTCGAATTGCTGAAGGAGATACTTTTGCACAATTAGTCAATGACCTCGACAGCTGTGAGAGGGACTGTGTGTGTGTGTGTATAAATATTTATATGTATATGCATGCATATATGTGTGGCACACACATCACGTGCGCAGACTGACTATCGATTGAGTTGTCGTCGTCGGAAGCTGCGTGTCTTGAACTCTTGACCCCGCTGAAGCTGTGCATGTGTGCGCGTGTGGCAAACACTGTTTGTTGTGCCTTTTGCTTTTGTGTGTGTGCAGCCAAAACAAAGCAACAAGGAGAGAGTGAGAGGAAGGGGGGGGCCAGCCAAAGTTAGTTGCAGCGGAAGTCGATTTCCGCAACGATAAACAAATTAATCGATAGTGCAGTTTGCAAAGTTGCTTTTGCTTTTATTTTATTGTTTACCTATTAGACTTAGCCATAATGGCAAACATCAGTCAACTCTATGGGATTGCTAGTTGCTATAACTTTTTATATGAAAATAGACTTTGATATATTTTTATTGATATGAAATATAGATAGATTATTTCTCTACTCTTATCTTGTAGTCCAACTGAACATTAAATCAGCACATATATATTTTAGAAACAATAATCTTGGAATATTATGTGAAATACATATATCAGATAGTAGTCTAACTTTATTCTATATATATTTCAAATTTTCTTTATTATTTGAAAACTGCTTAAATTTCCAGTTTCATTTTGTCTGCCAAATCAGCTTCAAAAATATATTTTGAATTTTTATACTAATATTTTTTACCCATCATATATTTTATTTATAATATATGATTCTAAATTTTTATAAAAATATACCATAATTTACTATATGTATATATATTTGAGTATCAGTCAAAATTTTGGATTTACCTATAAGATACGTTCTCTCCTTCTCTTAATCTGCTGTAGTTTTATATTTCAATCATAAATAATATATATTTTTTGCCTATAATAAATATATATTAATCTATTATTTTCTAATTATCTAATTCTTGTTTCATCTCGCTTTTTTCTCAACTTCTTTGTGTCTTTGAAAACTCTAAAAAATATTTCTATATTTTCTCTATTATATCTCCATTCGTGCATATTATACTATACTTAATATTCTATATAGTCAACTTTATCAATATTTCTGTTTGCATATTTGAGTTTTATTTTATGGCCATTTCGTTCTCGGAACTGGCCATAAGTGGCTAATACACACCCTCTTTCTTGACCAGTTCACTTCTGTGCGCTGATAAGAAATGTTAGCCTTGTACTAATTCTTCCTCTTCTTTGGGCTGTTATCGTGGGTTATGAGCTCATATGACGACCATGCCTAAAAATAATCCCTAACCTCAAGAGGCAGACTCAGATAGGGAGAGAGAAACCCGTGCACATTGTCGTCAATCGAACGAAGAAATCGTAGCATATTAATTTAAAACTTATTGTCGAATCGATTAATTTATTGTAAGTGGTTTGCCTATGACGAAATTTGTTTACGAAGAACTCTTTTCAGCTTCTTGTTTAATATTTTTTGTGAAGCAGAGCATTACGTGTAGTTTTCCAGTGCAGGTGTGCTTGGAGATAAGCGTTTGGAATATCACAAAAGCGAGATAAGCAAATTGCGGTCTAACTAACTATATGGAAATCATGGGACTTGGACATATTTAATCGGTTTACCAGATAAGACGAACTTTACGCTAAGAATAAGGAAAGTTTTGGTTGCAAACACGTGTGGACTTCTGGACAATATATATATATGTATTATGTATACTTGTATGTTTTTTGAAGAGCTTTGCTTATTAAGAATATTATTTCAGTGCCTTATTTTCTGGGATTTCATTTAACTATGACTCACATATTGATTTACTTATTTGCAAATAATATGAAATGCCTAATTTATGTAATATGTATTTTAAATAATTTGTTCTTACTCTCAACGCATATGAGATTAGTGTAACTTGTGCTAAGAAATTTTTTTTATATTAATTATAATAAGGCAATTTTTATTTTTTTTCATATACTCTTTTGTTTTGCTTACTCGAATTTAGATCTTTAAAAAAATTGTTTAAGAATATTTTGTTTTTAGATTTTTAATGTATTTTAGATTTCTCTGTAATGCGTTTTTAAACTACTTTTATATATATTTTTTTCTAATTGTTTTGATCTCTGATTTCTATACTTAACAACATTCTGTTAACAGTGTTGTTTAAGCTTTTACAACGTCTTTACGTTTTACACCTAATCAACTTTGTCGATAAGCAATATGAAAATCATTTTTTTTTATAAGAGGTCTAGATTTTCACATGGTCATTTTGTTGTTGTTCCTAATTCTGTTCGAGTTGTGTAAGAAATGCGTCTTTAGTAAATATTTGTTGTTCTTATTGTTGTCGTTGTCGTTGTTTTATGGCCAGCACACGTTATGGCTTGCAGTTAGTAGAGTTAGTTATAGTCGATCAGCTCAGTGCTTGGCACGACAACAAGTGCTCAACAAAGTGGGTCGAAACAGAGGCGCGAACTAGGTGACAAGCGGGTGGCTAGGCGGCAGGTGTTGGGGAATATAATATTTATGACGGATACACTTGTACGTAAATCAATTGCTGAAATACGCTCGACTTCTGGCAACAAGGGGAGTTCTGTTTTTGACCACTTGCAGCGGACGTCGCTGACTCAGAGTTGGTCATTGTAAACAAATACAATCGAGTTATTAGTAATTTAACATAAAAAGAATTGCAGATAAAAATGCGTGAAAATATATATACATATATAATAAATAATATGAATAGTGCGTAAGCTTCGCATTAAAGCCTTAGTCACTCGAATTATAATGCAAAAAAAATTTTTTTCTTTAATTTTAATAGAATTTGGTAGTAATTAAAGTAATTTTTTATGTAAATAAGAAACGGAATTTTAGCTCAATTTAAAACATATATTATTACTTAAATTAATTATAAAAATGTATATACATTTTTAAATTTGATTATGTCTTAAAATAAATTTAAATATGTTTTAAGATTGATTATATATGTATATAAACTTATGACGGAACATTTACTTTTCTTGTTTTTCTGCCTAATTTATATACTTTATAGACTATAGAATTTGATTGAGTAGTAATTTAAGAAGTTATGCATTTAGTAAATAATTAAGTAAAATAGTTTATTTAATACATTTCAAAAATTATATAAGCTTTATAAACAAAAGTACTTGAAGATGAAAATTGACTCAAATATTATTACTCTCGCTCTATATATTATATATATATTATATAAAAAATATTAACTATTTCAAATTTCAAACATTTTCTAATTAAATTTAGTCTTTTCTATTTTCATATTAATTGTATAATTTAAACCGAAGTACATAAAAATTTCTAAAAATGAATTGTAAAATTTTTCTGAGCCCTAATCAGCTTTGTCTTTATCTATGAATAGACAAATAGCATATAGCATATAGTTATCTAATCGTGAACTTACATCGATTTTGCATCATATGAACGGCAGCAACGTCTCGAGCGCTATTGTTGTTCACCTTTAATAGATCATGCTTCAAGGAATTGTTATTATCCTCGGGACTAGCTGTGCGCCAGTGTAGCTCCGACATAACCATTTTCAGATTTCAATGGATCGGTATAGGTATATGTTATATATAGTATATATATAATAGTATTATCTTGTGTTTCTTAGTTTTTTTAGGATATGTCAAGGTTCTCGCAACTAATTTGTCACTGTATTGTTTTTTGTTGTTTGGCAACACTGGCAACACTGCATAACACTTGCTTCAAAGTTTGTTTACTTTTATTATTGTTTTTCTTTTTATATTCTAATTATTTTCGCTCTTTTTCTGATTATTATTTTGTGTACTGGCTCGGTTTGTTGCGCCGGCCTGCGTGCAAACGCGTTCGTGTTTCGTTTGAAACTGACAGTCGAGCAAGCGTTGCGATGCAAAAGGACGACTCTCCACGTTTGTATCTGATGGATAATCTAGCTAGGCCTGTAGACGACAACGACGACGACGACAACGGCAACGATGATGATGATTATTGAGCTAATGATGTTGATGATGACGATGATGTTGATGTTGATGTTGTTGTTGCTGTTGATAGTGTTAGCCGGTATAACTGCGGCTGCCTATCTTTCTCTCTCTTTTTCTGTGTCTCTCTCCTCTTTACTCTGTCTGCCTCAATGCCTTCCACAGCCGGCATTGACTTTGTTTGAGTGCAAGAATTGAGTTAAAATTTTGTGTTTTTGCGCCCAAATAAAAATCTGTTTAAGTTAGGGGTGGTTTTTGCCGTTACTTAAAAAACAGCTCCTTCTACTTCTTCTTTTTTGCTATGTTAAAAAATACACACGAACGACGAGCTGCACGATGTGCTTTAGCGGAGTCAACGCGCTTAACTGGTTTTCACGTCGGCGCGCCAACTGCATTTGGCTCGACAGCAAAAAAAAGCCGCCAACGAGCGTGCGTGAGTGTATACGTGTGCGTGTGTGTGTGAGCTTAACGAACGAAAAGCGTGCGCTCTCTCGCTCGCTCGCCTGTTTGGTTGCTTACATAGAGAGCGTTTGCTTTTGCTCACTCATTATTTACCGTTCTAGGTTTGAATGCCTGTTAGAAACGCGTTCCACACACATTTCCATTCGCTGCTTGGAGAAATGAGCGTGCGCTCGCGCGCTTGAGTGTATTGGTTTGGTGAGTGAGTGAGACTGTGTTTGCATTTGAGCGTACATGAGAGAGCGAGTGTGACTGCGAGCGAGTGTGAGCAAACGTGAGTGTGTTTGTGTGTGTATGACTGCTCCAACGTTTTATACGTTTTAAAATTTTACTACAATGTCTCTTGTGTGTGTGTGTGTGGGTTGTCGGGTGGCGGGCGGCGTTCGTTTTGTTCGGCTCGGCTGCCGTTCGTTGGGATCCATTGTCTGTGCATGTGTGTGTGTGTTTGTGTGCAGTATGCGTGCGCTTGTTTGGGGTGTGGCTTAAAATTTAAATTTAGCTTTCAAATGGCGTTGGCGTCGACTGCGACGGTGTGTGCGTATGCATGCGTGTGTATATGTGTGTGTATGCATATTATTTTATGATTGGCGCACACGCCTCAAAATCTGAGTGAGTGTATGTGTGTGCGTGTGCGTGTATGTGAACTATGTAAAAATATTTTAAAGCTGCGTCGCTGCGTCGACGCCGACTGCAGCTGCGCGTAGCGCCCATTGTCGTCTGCTTTTGGCTCTTTGTTCTTCCTGCTCTCACATTTATTTGCCATTCATTTATGCACACATGCTCGCAATGCAGACATCGTCCTGCCTCCCTTCCAGCGACCTCTCCCTGTTCTGCCACCCACTTTGCAAGCAGTTTTTTCCTCATTCTTTTGTTCTTTCTTGTTCTTTTCCTTTTTTATATTTTTTCTTCAATTTATATTTACTTTATTTATTATTTATTATTATATTTATGTGAGTCAAGTTGAAATTGATTTTTAATAAATTGTTCGAATATTTAATTCGAATTTGTCTAATCTTTTTTATAAGATTTTGATATTGTATTTAATTTAGCATATGAACTTTATTATATATATATTGATTTAAAATGTTAAGGCATGGATTATTATATATCCAAGATTTTTATATTATTTTTATTTACTCTCAGAAGAGTATTTTTAAAGCCAGGTTTTCCCTGTGAAACGCACAATTTTATTTATCATACGATTTTCTGGGAAACTTCCGCAAGGAAAATATAATAGAGAGAGACAAACAAATTATAACGAAAAGTCAAATTTCAAGGTGAAAAATATCTTTGAGATACATGTACTACATGTGTATCCATATATAAAAAACAACTTGCGGCAGGTAAAAGATGCACAATTTTTTATGGCCAAAAATAAAAAAAAAGATATCATAAAAAATTGTTACAAAGTCATAAAAAGTCAGAAGTCAGGTAAATGAAAATCGTACGAAATTCGTTTGTCCTGCCGAGAAGCATTTAACGCCCGGAATGCGCAACGCTTCCGACACTCTGATAACCACCTAAAGAGCGCTCAAGTAGGCTTCGGGTACTTGAACTGTTTAGATACCCTGTAGATGAAGGTTATGGCTCAGTGGGTATGATCGAAGTAAGGTATGTATGTGCGGGGTATAAGTATATATAATATAGTAGAATATTATGAATGCCTACGACTTAAAACTGATTTTTGGTAATTTTTTCCACAATTTTCAGATATATCGATTATTTATAAACTTACAAAATATCCTAAAAATTGCTTTAAAAAATAGAATATATAAAATGTCTCTTAGTTCTTAGCATGAATGAGCAAATAATTCAACACAAAATGTATAAAAATTCGTCAGAAAATGTCTCCGATTTTTCAATATTTACAGGATATCTGCTAGCCACAATCGAATTGCGAGTTCATTTTTTCCACGTGTAGTTTTTGCGCTGCTTGCGTTTTTTACGAGGCGTTGTAAATTGCGGCGATTTCCACGTAAATCATAAAAAAACTAAAACTAGATACATCTCTGATGCCTCGATACCCTGTACAAAGGATGCTGTGCGCAGGATGCTGCTACATGTTAATTAGACGCGAACCTTAACCGTTCGAATGTCTTGACTATTTGAGCATTTGGCTACTGGTTCTGAATCTCTATCGGCCGCTCTCACGTTCGCAAGGACACGTTAAATAGGTAAACGGGTTTCGTACCTTTGACTTTTGACTGTGCAGCTCGCATATAAATCGAACAAAATATGCTAACTATTTAGCTAAGGCAGACCTCGCTCATTGCTGAGAATTAGTTAAGTCAATGCAAAAGGCAAAGATCATAAAAGTTGAAGCGTTTTTATAGCCTGAACATATTGAAAATGTATAAGAAGGGTATATTGGTTAGTACGTAAAGTATGTAACAGGCAGAAGGATAAGTAGTCGATTCTTGTTTGGGACTAACAGCTGAGTCGAACTAGTTCTGTGTCTGTGTCTGGCTGTCTGTCTGAAGATCCCCCAAACAGTGTGCATAAACGGCTTAAAATCGCACCCAATAGAGACTTAATTTTCTTCTATGGAACGTTTATCAAGCTTTAATTGATTGATATTGAGCTTAAAGGATTAAAATAATCAAAGCTCTCAGATGCCATCGAGTGCAGATGCTTCCCCAAATGAAACAACGTCCAGGGTATCTTCTAGGCAAGCACTCTCGACTCAAGTACTTTTACTTGTGTTTTATGGGGGGCAACCGAAAAAAATATTTTAAAAAAAAGCAACACCAAAAAATACTAAAAAATATATAAAATGAAAAGGTCAAGAAAAGGGAAATTCGTATAGTTGAGAATTTGTTCTTGTTGGTCAGTGGATGGTAAAAAGTGAAGAAAAGTGAATTGTCTAATGAAGTCATAAAGGTAGTTGGCTCTGCGTACATGCAGGTATTTCCTTTTCTCTCCTCTCACCCATGCCCGATTTTCGAATGGACTTTCTACAGAGCCTATCAGGTGGGCTTGTTCTTGTGGCTTTTGATTTTCTGTTCTTTTTTAGTGCCCCATAAATGCGGCAGAAGGGAAACAGTAAAGCGATTTCTTATCAGTTAAAAGAAAACTGATTCTGATCAAAATCAAAAGTAATGAATGAAAGTTTTCAACAGAAGCTGTAGCTGTTGATTGGCTATAAAAAAATCTAATTTAATAGAAAGTAAGAATTATTTTTGCCCAAATACATTTTCCTTAAGTTTATACTTAAGATCAATAACTATATTTATTTTTATGAAAATATTTATATTTTTACATAATTTTATCGCATAGCAAATTTAGGTAAATTTTTATTTTCATTCGAAATCAAAATTTTACCTATGAAAAACATTTTTTGTAAAAAATTTCAAAAGAACCCAATCAAAATTTTCACATTAATTATTTAGCCTTCATTAGTTAGCCCACAGACAAGATTTACTTAGTCCTAAAACTCGTGGGAAACTCACCCAAAAAAAGAAAAATCTTAAAAGCAACTCTCAAGATTGGCGAAAATAAATAAAAAAAAAACCTTTTGCAATTATAAGAATTTTCTTGCTGTAAAAACTTGCCCAAAAAGGAAAAATCAACCCTCAGTCCACAAAAAAAAACACAAATTTTCATGCTAAAAATTGCATTAAAAAACAAACTGCAATTGGGGGTTGTTAGAGAAAAGCGGAAAACTTGGCACCGCATCAAAATTATATGCATATGCGTCAAGGACTACCTGAGTGGGTCCTGGCCGAAGTGTCCCCTGGCAGAGGGGTGTCAAATGCATGTCAACTACCGTAACGAGCTGCGTTCTTTGTTTTTTCCTCTACTTTTTTAAGGATATTTCCTTATCGCGCAGACAACGCAATTGATTTGCGACGTTTTCTTTTATTTTTTCGACCCAAAATAAGGCGGCCAAAAAAACAGAATAGAGGCAGTTTTTTCATCATAAATAAAATGCTAGACGTTGTCGTCGATGCTTCATCATGTTACACAGACAAAGCACGAATCAAAATTCGTTGTTATTCGAGCCATAGATTGGGCATGACAAAGTGTGTGTAAAAAGTGGAAGCATGCAAAATTGTTACCAGGACTCGCGCCAAAAATACAGGCCATAAGAGTAGGGGCTTAGATATGTGAGAAATGGGCTCTTCACTAATTGAAATTTTACTAGAATTCTGTAAGAAATATATAAATATATATTGTTTAAAAAAAAACTGATTAGAGCTAGGCACAGATGACAAATCTATATATATATATATATATATATATATGTGTATTATTAATCATCTATGTTCACATTTATAGGGTAGGCCGCTTTTCTACCCCAATCATAAATATTTGCCAAATGCTGATAAAAATGTGATTTTTATCGCTAAAATTATTTTTGACAGCATTTACGAGATTGCAGCGAGGGGGTTGAGAGAGGCTTAAAATGAGTCGATGCCCATGTGAAATGGGTTTATGATTATACATATATATATATATATACATATATATATACATATTGTATGCTTTGATTAGTTAAATGAGTATAAGAGCTTGAGCTCATCTGCACTTCATCTCTCTCATCTTCCCTTTTTCATTTCCTTTTTTTGATGAGTCTTAGATATATCTTTACTTTGGAACTATGCTTCAGTTCATACATATTTAAATATTTATATAAAATATCAAAATATATATCACACATTTCTTCTTACTCAACACTCGTATTCATCCTTACAGACTTTCCGTCTCACATTCATAAATTTCTTAGATTATTCTTAAAAATTCTTAAGAATCTCTCCTCATTTAAATAAATATAAAATCCTAAAAAATCCTAAATGAGTAATCTTATAACATTCATAATTTCTTAGATTCTTCTTAAAAATTCTTAAGAATCTCTCCTCATTTACATAAATATAAAATATCCTAAATGAGTTTTTTTTTGCATAT